GTGATGGTAGTCTTAATTCTTTATTCTTTTTGTATATAGTTTTCTCCTTTAAATTTAATTCTGTACATAATTTAAATTTCTTGAATAATCTTTCGCTTGATTCTTTAGTCAACTGGTTTAATCACGTAGAGGCTTGCATGGTTAAGGGGGAGTTGTTGTTTTCTCAAGATAAAACCTCTAGAAGAATAAAAGTTAAGTTCACAGAACTCTTTTCACAGAACCTCTGTGACTGTTTACAGAGGCTCTTTGAACGGATCTTCTATGGCACTTCTTCTTAAGGATTTTAAAATGGTTTTTATTCGAGGGGGAGCCAAGGAAACTGGCTCAGAGGGGGAGTTTTCTAAAACTTAAAACCACAGAAGGTGCAAAAACGTTTAAAGTATATTGTTCTCAGAGGTCATCTCATCAGAACCTCTGGTGCTTCTAACAGAGGCTCTGTGAGTTGAGCTGAGCAAATACTCATCTGTCTGTGGATTTTATAAAACCGTTTAGGTATAAAGGTGTAACACTTGAAAGAGGGCCCGACACATATCACAGAGGATCTATAACCCTTAGGCCTCTGACAGAACTTTCTTAATAGTTCTCGTCTATTGATATGGTGCGCGTGAATCTGTAGATAAGGGTAAGAACTCACACGCGCGTGTTAGAAAACGGAAGCACACGTCATCAATCGTGCGTCTTTCAATACGGCGTGTCCTAACTTTATGAACCGTTTCACCCAAAGTCACTCATTACCTTTGACGGTTCATTTTTTTTAAATCCCCTACCTATAAATACCCTCTTTYCCCCCATTTTAAACCTTACGCTCTCATAACTCTCAGACGAACCCAGAAACCTGCAACTCTCAAGAAACCTGCAACTCTCAAGAAACCTGCAACCATGTCTTCTTCGAGTGGTTCCGCTCAATCCGTCAACGTCTCAAGTGACAACGAGGTCACTCAGGCGCAAGCTTTAACCTCGCACGCTCTTTCTTTTGTTCAGAATAAATACGAGAAAATCGTACTGGTGAAGAAGCCTAACAACTACTTCTTCGTCCCATCATTATCAGTTTTTCCCGAATCCACCTATACTCTCATCTCAATTCTTAAAAACCATCCACTTTTTTATGCTTTAACTGCTACACGCCCCACATCTAAAACCTATATCACCCAGTTCCTTCTTAGCGCCTATCTAACTACCCTAGATAACTCAGGGCTAACCATTGTTGGTTATGCCTCTCACCTAGTGAACAAATCTTTGGTTCCACTGGAGTTGAATGTTGAAATCCTTTGAACTGCTCTTCACATCCCCACTCTTGCCAAAATGAACCTAAACTCTTTTGCTGCTACTCCCTCGGATGAGGAACTTATCAGTTTTCTGGCATTCCATTCTTACGCAACCCCTATTTCAAAAAGAACCCAACTTAGGCGTAAGAATTTACCCCCTCTTTGGAACACCCTTTTCTCAATAATCAACTGTTGCTTAACTRGCAAAGTTGGAAGCCACGACCAGACATCCCATGCCATGATTTCAATCATGTATGGGATATACTTTAATTTGCCACTGGATTATGCCCAATTAATCTTCGATGACATGGTTGGCCTGATAAAGAAGAAATGTGCCAGCCAAAAGGGCAAAAAGAAGAAAGTACAGGCCCAACAGAAGGCCAATGAAGACGTTAACCAGCCAAATCTAATACTACAACGCTTCCTTGGTTTGGTGTTCGGAGACCTCCTGGCCGCAAAGCTGCCTACAGTAGAGCCAAATGCAAGGCTTTACCCGTTTAGCTCATTCCATCCAACAGAACATGAGCGTGGCTACAGAAGCCCTCGTCCAATCTCCAAAGCCATGCTCAGGTATCTGGCTCATGAAGAACGAAAAGCTTACAGACGTGGTAACAGGCGACCAGAACCGGTCCCTGTAACCCCACCACGCATAGGAGTTCCCTTAGGTGAGAGTGTGAACAGAATGAGGATAGAGGGAAGAACGGAGGAGCCAGTAGTGGCTGGTAAGATGAGTGAGCATCCACCTAGAATCCCATCACCTCCATGCCAGAGAAGAAGAAGTCACAGAAGGTTGGTGATGCTTCTGTGAAGAAGACGAAAAAGAGGCCCGCAGAAGAAGAGGATCTAAATGTGCCTCTACCCAAGCCTAAGAAAAGAAAAACCAAGAAGACTGAACGTACAAAGCCTGCGATCACAGAACCTGTGGTCGCAGAGGCTATTGCAGAAGAGCAGGCAGAGGCTACAGCTCCTAAGCACAGAAGATTGCGCAAGGTGAATATCGAAGTTTCAACATCGGAGCAAATTCAAGATGTTCTGTCGAATATCCAGAAGGAGCTCCAGGCGCAAATCGATCCTATCAATACGGGCAAAGAAGTCGTTCTAGACGACGAAGATGAAGAAGAAGACCTAGGAGAGGGAGAAAAAGATGCCCTTGGCACACATCCAAGCCCAACTCCCAGTGCATTCCATGATTCTAGAGGCCCTGTTCTAGAGGGACCCTCTATTG